CGCGCTCGTCACCAGGCGCAGAATCGGGCTCATCGCGAGGCGCGGAATCGCGCTCGTCGCCAAGCGCGGGTTCGCGCTCGTCACCAGGCGCGGGATCGCCCTCGTCGCCAGGCGCGGAATTGCGCTCGTCGCAAGGTGCGGGTTTGCGCTCATCGCCAGGCGCGGAATCGCGCTCGGATGCGGAAGCAAGTCGTTGATGAGCGGAGGCGGATTCGGATGGAGTAGAGGAGATCGGAGGAGAAACAGAGGATGCGGAAGTAATCTGTGGAGGCGGGTGCGGAAGCGAGTTGTTGGGCTCCGGTGATGCCGGAGGGAGCGGACTCAGATCGCAAGAGAAGGTGGCGCTCCGATTGATGAGCGGAGGCGAGTCCCGGACCAAAGTCACGGGTTGATTACAGAATAAATGGTTGGGCAAGGAATGTTTGCGAACTTCGCGATCAGGCGGAGGATCTCGCCATGGCATCGGATGCTCGAGCTGTGGATACTTCGGCGGTGGATCATGCCATCGGAGAGGGAGCTCGAGCGGAGGGTATTCGTGGCTGGACTGATGGCGTTTACCTGGGGAGGACGAGGAGAGCGAAGAAGAAGAATACCTCGGTATGGTTGCCGACGACACTCTCATCTTCCTTATTGACCGAAGGGTTTCGCGAATCCGATCAAGGTTTCTGTCCACCTGATCGAGCGATTCCTTCGATTGAGCTTGGTAGAAGGCGATCCGGCTTCGAGCATCATTGACAACCCACCTTCCTTGGCGTCGATCGTCGTCGACCGCCAATCTTGTTTTGCGGCTTCGATCGTCGTCGACAGCCGACCTTCATCCGCAGTCCATCAATCTTCACAAGCTCCGGGCTCTGATTCCAACTGATGTAGTGGATCGTCGGAAGATGCGACCTGCAAGAAGGATTTGGGCTTCCCAATCTAGGGAAGAAGAAGAAGAAAGCTTCAAAGACTAAAATATATCATTCAATGACCTCCATCCTTTACAATAGCCAACTATTTAAAGAGGAAAATAGAACTATCTAGACTAAGGAATGTAAACTAATCCCTAAGCATAATATAAGCTAAGATGTTCCTACATCATAGGGCAATAATACAAAAACCTCATATTAAAAGGGCGATGCACCTAGGAATATGGGATATGATGAAATCCTCTTAGACAAGACCTTCATCAAGGTTCTTGAGATTGGTCGTTATTTCCATCATGAACTCCAAGTTGAAGAGACGGTTGCATATATCCCATGGACGTTGAGCTCGACTTGTTGAACTATTTGTCACCCTGTTGAATGCCAACATAATCTCATATGAAGTTTTTGGATGTTTTGTGCTAAATCCTCATAGTAGGTGCACAACAATTTTGTTCACCACCTATGTGGTCGTTAGTTTGTAGATGGAAGGTTGTGATAATCTTTATAGTAGTATCCATCATAATAATTTTCAAAACCAATTGAGGAAGCGGAAGTCTCGATCCGAGATGATCGGGCCCATTAAAGTGATATCAAGAGCCCCTCCAAGATACTTGTCTTCTACTGTTATGGTTGCTTATATGTAACTGCTATCATTTTGTAGAACTCATCTACCATAAAGAAAACATAATTATGATCAGTAAATGTTGATGACAATCCTGTTAGGAAGTCCATGGATATGCTCCCCTATGTTTGAGTCAGCACAAGTAGAGGAGTGTACAATCTTTATCCTTCATATTGGAATATCTTGGGGTGAGATGGAGTGCACATCTGTTCATAATTGGGGCCAAATCAATATAAAATATTGTAGTAAATGTATATTTGCAAGTTCTGAAGCATCTTAGTTACCCCGAAGTGCCCAACCGTTGTGGAAGTGTGTGTTTATCTTATGCATTTCACCCAATCACCCCTTTTGTAGCACATAGGGGTTATTTATTCATAGAAATTTAGAATTCATGCACTTTAACAATGTAGAGTGAAATAAGTATAGTGTATATTGATTTCTCAATAATATTTGATTGTCAATGATTAAATGAAGAGGAACAAATTTTTTATTTGGATGAAAATATAATAAATGTAGTGTTTTATGATTATTATTTTTTGTTTATTCAAAAAAATAAGAAGCCAAAATACACAAGATCTTAGATAATTTTAATTTATTCATGTTATAAAAAATTTTATATCAATCAATTAGATCATATGTTTCATGCTAATCATTTTGGTAGAGCAGTAAACACAAAAATATGTGCTTCATAGCATCAGGGATTCCTAGAAAATAAGTAATTTTGTTCTTTCTCTTCCGAGAAAATCCTACCAAAAATATAATGAAGCATCAAGTTTGAGAATCAACACTTTATCTCAACAAAAGCTCATACAAGCTGCAAGTTTGCGGTTTGGACAGGGTCGGGACACATCCCATGCTATACGGGGATGTGAACGAGCGCAATGATTGTTAGCAAGTACGCAAATGATAAAACACATGAGTTAGGTGAGGGTTATTTGCAATTAGGATAATGATTAGGGCAATGAGATCGTGAAGAATTAGAGGCACGAGATTGAGACAAATGCACAAGATTCCAATTTCAACCAAATCAAGTGATTTTGAAATGCAGGAAAAATGACACTTATGATATTTCTAATTCCTTAAAATTTTAGTTTGTTTTTTCTTTGCTTTGAGGCAAAGAAAAAACAAACTAAAATTGGCTTGCGACTTTAGTCGTGGATTTGGTCGTGAGTGAAGCGAATTGGCTATAGGAAGCGGCTAGTGGATTGAGGAGGTCGGTTAGGGCTTGCGATCATGGTGGATCAGACAGAGGGGGGGAGTTCATGAACCGTTTGACGGGTTGGAGATCGGATTTTAGATAGATTAGTTGAGGGAGGAATCGGCTTGGGGTTGTTTGCGACATGCTGGTCGTATAAGGGAGAGGGAGTCGGCTACAGAGAGGGATTTGTTGAGTGGGCTGATCGGGTCGGTAACTGGAGGTGAACTAGTGTTAGGGCTTGCGAAGGCTAGTGTGAGTGGTCCTGTGATTTCTAGAGTTCGACAGAGGGTTGGAGGCTTGCTGCAGGTATTCAACACATGGATTCAAACGAGAATGCCGACTAGTGAGGCATCGACGAGCTTCGAAGCTTCATGGTGTTTGTGGATTGAGGTGTCGGAGCATGTGCAAAAGATTGAACAAAGAAAAGAGAGCTAGCGGGGCTGGAGTTCGAATATATGAGGAACTGAATGGAGGCTTGTGTGTAATCAAGAGATAGAGGGAGTTATGCACGCGGGAGACAAGATTGGATTCGGTGCCAAATTGCAAACTTCAAATATGACACTATAGCAGACGACGACTTTAAGCGAGATTTCGGCAGAGATACGGGATGGGGCAACCGAATTCACCAGAGATTTGAACATGGTATATTTTATTGCCTCCCTCTTTTTTTCTTAAGTGTAGGTCAACAATATAAGAAAAGTTTATCTTACTATATTTCAATATTTACTAACCTTTTTTATGTTAATATTTTTGTTCTTATGAATTCTTCAACTTAGTAATGTTACTAATGTATTCCGTGCATTTTGCATGGGCTTTTGGTGGATAACAGTAAGTTTGTTACATTAGCTATAATATTGAAAAACAACAATGCAAAAATACATATATTCATTGGTATGAAATTGAAGTATGCCTTTGCATTTCTTTTTCTTGCAAATATACCACCTGAATGATCATATGTTAGGGTAATTGCACTGAGTGGCTAGATGAGTCGAGTTTGAGCTAGTTTGATTATTGTTCGACTCAACACGTCAAGTAAACAAGTCTAAATTTTCTATTTATGTTTGACTTATTTATTTATTGAGTGAAACACGAATTGTTAGTGGGCATGACACCTGATTAAAAATTCTATATAATTCATAGAATATACATGTTACCACACATATCTTTATCCATTCAAATATACATTATAAATATGAGTGTACAAAATTTATATCAATCTATTCTTTAACTGAAGTTACTGGTAGGACAATATTTTCTTACGAGTCCTTTGGTTGTCAAGGTGCTATAGCTTATTCTTCTTACAAAGTATGGATTTTGTAGAAAGATAATATTAATTGCTCTGCTTCCCCAGCTGTTTGTGGTAAGAATATCCCTTCAATATATGAAATCAACATATCGATTTCATCAATGGGCTAACATGTGAACCATAAATTGGTTTGATGCTCATTTGAATTGAGCACATCCATATGGACAATAGAGTATGTTAAACACTAATTGTGCTGTTGAGGTGCATAAGGAGGCTATTGATTCATTTAATTTTGAAATCTTGGCTTAAAAGAATGGGCCAATTTGAAATGCAATCGTTTTCTCTATGATTAATTTTATATTTTTTACAATTTGGCTAGAAATTTTATGTTGTTGGGAGCCAAATGGCTCAACACAAAGTTTATGTTATTACATTCAAGATGAATAAACCTAAGAAAAAGCATATAATTTCTAAGCAAATTTTACGTAAACAAATAATTTCATGTAAACAAATAATTTCATATATGAAAAATGAATGTATAGCAAGGCTAGGGTAGTTGGGTTCTACAATACTTATATGGCAGTAGAGGCAGGAGAGGGGGGCGGCCTGGGCCGTCCTAGCCGGCCGATCCAGCAGGAGCCGAACTAGCCCATGGGGCTTGGTGGAACTAGGGGCAGAACCAAGGGGGGTTTCAGCCCCCTTTGTGGGGCCTAGGAAAGTTGTAATTCATTATGTAAGGAGGAGAAATCAAGGGGGATGTTTATGAAGGTTTTAACTTGTTTAGGAAAGGTTTAATTGTGTTTATTGTATATTAGGGTTATTTAAGAGGACATGTGGACTAAGATTAATATCTTTTCTTTGTTGAATTTTATTTATTTCTAGGGTATATCCTAGATTCCTAGTGGCGGCTGGGGTTTGTGGGAGAGCTGATTACCTCTTGAATAGTAGATCAACTATATCTTGCATTAATTTTGAAGGAGGAATAAAAAATCAGCTCCTATCTTCGTGTTCCTGCATTTTTCTTATCATCTACTTGTTTTTTACTTCCAAGACACATCAAATACACCCCATAAAGAAAAAATGCAATCAAATAATTGTGTTCTGCATAATACATCCCATTCTTAATCTATATACAAATGAATTTGATACTTTGGGTTTTTAGGCATTATCTTCCTAGTGATCTAGATAATACATGAAGTCATATTGGCACATTTGCATAAGCATATTTTTTATGTATATATAAATATTATTGTGGTACTATCAATTGAATATGTTCAAACAATGTCATGCTTGTATTTGGCTCAAGTAAATGAGATTGGAAAAACAAACTGAAATCATGCTAATTATCGAGCCTAAAAGTAAAGGACACAAACAATGATCTATTTTGATAGCCCTAATTGTACTACTTTTCATGGTGGTTTTAAATTGTTCAAGATAACACGTATGCTATTTTAAGCATTTATATCGAAATAACAACGTGAACAAAAATCGTTCCTAGATAATTTGTCTGTCAGTTTGAGCCCGTGAAAATATTTTCCCCTTCCTTACTACTGTCATTAGACGACCCCACATAGTGGGATAAAGGCTTGATGTTGTTGTTGTTACCACTGTTTTTGACATAGCCTTGTTGTAGGCACAGCATTTTGTTTATTTAACAGCAAACATCTCGCCTTAATGTCTGTTAGGATGCTTGACAAGTACTTTTCTGGAATGGTTTTTAAAGTTATTGTCATGAGAGGAAATCCTCAGAAACGTCACCCATAATGTTCAAGTAAATTTGTATCTTTCTTGTGAGTTTTTTTTTAGGAAGCTAAGAAGCTTTTTTTTCATCTAAATAACCAAAATATGCTCAACTATTCATAGTGTGAGTGTGATCATATTTTCATGTTAAGGATTCTATTTTGAGAAACCGTAGTCCATTTGAGCACATGGAACCTATATAAAATTCATCTGAACATCTTTCTTTTTTTTTTGGGTGTGGGTGCTAGTTACAATTTGGACAAATTATGAATGCAGTTCCAACATCCGGCAACAGCATTCGGGCAGCCTTCTCCTACTGTGCTCAGCAAGTTCGCAGCTATGATTACCACCATTACCTCTGCCTACTTCTCCTTCCAACTTCTATGCGTAAGGCTGCATTCGCATTCCGCGCCTTCAATGTTGAGATTGCAAGAGCCATGGATGTCACTTCTGATCCCAGCGTCGGCCTCATGCGCCTATTATGGTGGCAAGAAGCCATTGACAAGATATTTGCTAAGAAGCTCATTGAACAGCCAGTCGCGAGAGCTCTCTCTGCAGTGATTTCAGAGCATAAGATTAGCAAACAGTGGCTCAAACGGTCAGTCGAGGCCCGGATAAATGATGCCAACAAAGACGAGAGTTACATTCCTGCAAGCATTGCTGATCTGGAGAAATATGCAGAAGACACAGTTTCGACTATTCTATATTTGACTCTCCAAGCAGGTGGGATTCAATCCACTGCCGCAGATCATGCAGCTTCACATATCGGCAAAGCAAATGGTCTGCTCCTGCTGCTGAAATCTCTGCCATATCATGCTGGCAGAACTGGAAGAATACCTTACATACCAGCTCAAGTGGCAGAGAAACATGGGCTGCTGGTCACTGAGAATGGGAGATCAGAGATCCGAATGGATTATTTAAACGAACAGCTTTCGGATGCAGTGTTTGAGGTTGCATCTGTTGCTCTTGCTCATCTGCGGAAAGCTCAGGAATTGGCTTCGACTGTTCCTGCAGGGGCTGTTCCTGTCTTACTGCCTGCGGTGGCAGCGCAGGTGCTTTTTGATTCTCTGGATCGGAGTCATTTCGATGTGTTCGATCCAAGGTTGGGAAGAGGGGTTCTCGGTGTCTCTCCACTTTGGTATCAGTTGAAACTCAAATGGCATTCCTGGAGAAACAATTATTGACTACTGCTGATATTTAGAGGTCTGAAGGGCGTTCATTTTCGCTTTAGAAGATTTTAATGTTTGGATGCTCTCCCTAAAGACGCCATTGCTATCTAGTTTTATTTTATTCTGGTCACAATTTGTGTTTCCATTTCTTCGAAACGTTTTATTTTGAAGGTGGAAAATATTTTATAATTTGTTGTCAAATTTCTATTTCAACAATCAAACCTTTTTCAAATAATAATAAAAAAAGGCATCACTATGTTTTTCAGTTTTTGTCTCATTCATTAATATATAGCATTACTACTGCATGGAAATTCATAAATCGGGAAAAAAGATATACTTATATTTTTTTTATTATGCTGAATATATACTTTCATATGCAAAACAATAGAAATAAAAATAAATTTTATTACTCTTTAAAATTTGAATAATATTAAGAATTGTTTAGTTGCTAGTAATCCTCATATAAAATAATCAAATAAATGACAAAAAAATTTAAATGTTTGATTGAAAGCAAAATAAATATAAAATAAAATTTCAATATATGGAATTTACCGTGCAGTTTATTTTCCATAGTATTACAAACATAATTGAAGCTCATTCCGAATACAACTTGTGGGAAATGCCACCATCAACTCACCACCACCTCTGATTATCACCCTCCATAAGCCTCCAAATTTTACATATAATTAATTTTAATTTAAACTAAACACAAGAAAATAAACTTTTAAATTTATAATACATTCAGCAAAATAACTTTAAATATCTTAAATACACTATATTTATTATATTATTATATTTCTTTTACCCTAGATTTCATTTTTTAACAAATCAAACAGCCCCGATATAGAAAGGCTTCGAAGATACGAGATAGTCAATAAACCCTCCAAATAGTATTGATCAGTTTCTTTTATAAATTGAAAACTTGAAAAAAGAAGAGGTTTTATGAAGTATAAACAGTGGAGCAACAACTCATAGCCAAAGCATTTATAATAATTCTGACAAATTTAACATAATTTAAAACATCAGAAAATTACCTTTTGCCGACTGATCAATCATTTCATTTTCACTTTTTTTTTTTTTTTCATTTTCGTAATATGAATATCAAAATAAAGAAAACTTGGCAAGAAAATCAGATTGCATGGAACGCTAAATAAAAGATGGGCAAATAATAGCAAACCAAGCTATAAAACAAAAAAGAAATAGGACATCAAATCAAATAAATAAACCTTGAAATAAAAGCATACTACAAATGAACCTAAACTAAGATCAAAGCAACAGCCCGTTTTTCACCAAAAAAACAAAAGCAAAAGAACACACACACACGCACGCTTATAAAGGTTCGCATACAAAGACAACCAACAAGTGCAAGAAAAAATAAAGGATAATTTAGCTCTGCTCATCCCCTTCAGCATCATCCCTCTCCTCAGCAGCAGCAGCCATCAGCTCATCAAATTTTTCACTCTTTCCCAGTAAAATTTCAATCTGGTCAAAATATATTTAAATCATTCAATTACCAGTACAAGCGAATTCGGGGAACTAAATTTTGCAAAAAGTTTAGGGTTTTACCTTAGCTTTCTGGATGGGCCGACCCCTTGATTCATCCTTGATGTCCACAGTGGATGTCATAATCTCTGCATGTCAAACGGATGCTGATTACATATTGTGAGGATTTATTCAAAAGAAACCGTTCAAACGAAAGCAAGCACGATGTATTATTAGATCAAAGTAAGAATCTCACTCTTCTCAATAGCAAGGCCATTGTTCTTCAGAATCTCTGCAATCGTCACAACAGTTGCAATTGCTGCAAAATATTTTCAAATGGATTATTTTGAAGATCAAATAAATCTGGAATGTAAGGCGCCATACTGCTAAAATTTTCAGAGCCAGTCCAAACTTGACCTATAAGACATGGCTAAGGCCTCACATATTCAATCAACCTGACACGTCATGCTTTGAAATTCCCAGTGCCAGACCATACTTGGACCTGCAAATTGGCTGGAGTCCTAAAATACATGATTCACTATCCTAGAGACCAGGAGGCCCAGCCAAGTCATCCTAACAAGCTCAGACTAAGGCCTCCAATAATAATGACAATAATAAGATTCTATTTCACCAGCTTGGAGCCAAGGTTCCAAAAGAGATTGATGGTTTCTCTATCGGGAAAGAGAGGTAAGGTTGAATCCTAATGATACATTTATAGCCATACTTGTATATATTATCATGAAATAGAAAAGTAAAAGGCATGGAGTGACTTTGGCGGAAACACTTTAGGAATAAAAGTTGCCTTCAGCTGCGGTCAAGGCTAGCTATTTTATATTTTCTTTATTTTCCACTTGTGTTTCTAGCTCTCTTTATTTGAATAAAATTATAACACTCAAGCATATAATTATAAGATTTGAAACACACACGCATACATTACCTATGTACCAATATATAATTAAAAAACAAAAGATGAAAAGGCTTCCAACTCTACAGATTTGGCTAATTCCCATAGACACACACAAGCACGCACGAGTGTCTGCGTGTGTGTTTGTGTGGATAAGTGTTTACAATAAATCTAAGAATTATCTCATATGAATACACAAGCTCATGCTAGTCCTATAATTTTGTATGTTACAATTAATGGTGGCTTTTGTTCCACACATTGACGGGTAGTGATTTATTCAACGCCACAATGGTCAATCAATGTTCCATTTAAAGTCAGTTTAAATGCAATAACAAACATCAAATCTAGCTCTCTACATATAATGTATAAATCATACTCTTTAGTTTGATTTTCATATAATTTAAGTCTATCAAATTTAAATCATAATTTAGTATTCAAAACTACTCAAACCATTTGAAAAATAAAAACAGAATTACATAAATTATGAAGCTCAAAGATCATGCTTTGAGATTTAATTTTCACTTGGAAAGGGTTTAGGACTTTTGTTGTGAGCTTTCACGTCACATTTTGAACATAATAATATTTGGCGGTTCCAAATCCAAAAGTTAAAGAATTCCCAAATTCCCCACAGATAAGCACCAACAAAATAAAGGAAAATAAGAAATAAACACTGGCCCCACAAAACAGATGCATCTCTCAGTTTCATAGCAAAGTCATGAAGGAGGAAACACTCACCCATTCCAAGAGCAGAAAGCTCAACTTCATTGTGCTGCTGCATATACCTCTACAATAAGAAAGCAAACAAATTAAATAAAATATAAGCATCCATCGCAAAATCACAATTAATAAGAACAAATCTAATTTAAAGAACCCTGCGCTGCAACCCTCACGGTCACTAAAACACATACAGATTTGACAGAATTCATCCACCCAATACTCTCTTTCGCCAAAACACTCAAAAAACAGGAACTCAAAGATTACAATAACAGCCCCTGGCTCTCAATAAAAAAGGTGAGCCGACTTCCAAGAAACAAGGAATAAAGAAGAAACAGATAAAATGATATATAATTCGAGAATAATGGCGAGATCGAAGCCGTCGATGCTGTACCTTGGCGAGGTTGACGTAGAAGAAAAGGGGCTTCTTGGTGTTGGAGACCTGGATCCGATTCTTCTTGTGTGAATCGTTGACGCTCAGGTTGTTGACAGCCTCAGTAACCTCCTCCATCTTCCAAAGAGCGATCGACGATGTGAGAACAATCAGCCCACGCAGAAAACCTAACCCTAACTCCGCACGACGATAAGATCAGAAAACAGGTGGATGGGTTTACTTTGCGAAGTTTAACTATATACTAACCATACCTTACGGCCCGGCCTAAAAACCGGTGAGACGCTTTCTCCCTTATCAGGTGCTGACTAGGTGCTAATTCGGGTTCGTGTCGTTCAGTTTATGCCCACTCATTTAGCAAAGATGGGTGGAACCGAATGTTTTGACGTATTTATTTTGACTTCAATAGTTTATTTTATTTAATTAATTTTAATTTTCAAGTTATAATTTATTTTAATTCCAAACTTTAATAAATTGAATATTTAAAATTCTTTTTAAAATATATGTATGCATGAGATTTTTAAATTATATAATAAATTTAATTAAATACTAGATTGATATTAAGCCTTTGCTAATTTATGATACGAGAGAAATATCTCATTAGTTAGTTAACAACTTTAACTTAGCATAAATATATTTACGAATTATAACACTTTAATTGAGATATTTAAGTTTCATTTCAAACAGCTTTTTTATTATTTATCCTAAACTTTAAAAGAGTAAAAAAGCTGTCCCAATTGGAATATAAAGACAAGCCAACAAGCCCACAAGCCCACAAGCCCACAAGCCCACAAGCCCACAAGCCCACAAGCATTGCTCTGCCTCTGATTGAGAATAGATAGTCAGATGTGCCTTTGAATCCATTTGGCTCATCACCGATTTCAATCTCTTTCAATTGAATGGCAAACCCGATTTCAATCTCTTTCAAATTTATGTATTTTGTAATGACAGTAAACAAACCGAATTCGCTTCAGGATTACTTTAATCAACCTCGTTCGTTTATTCTATTATCAACATTCGATCGAGAACTTGAACTACCTTTCGCTCAAATTTTTTAATAAATTCTAATTATAATCTGTTTTTAATTAAACATTATTTGTAATGCTTAATTAAAAAAATCAAATTTAGACTTTTAATATATTCATAAGAAAGTATTTAATATTTTTTACTGTCCTAAATCTATATTTTATTTTTCATCATAATAAATGATATACCATATTAAAAATATTTTTAAATACAAATGTTATAAAAATACATATTCTAACAATAAATAAATTATTTAAGGTTTTGTTATAAAAATATAATTTTGATAATTTTTTACTAAACAGCTTCTTCCAAGAAGAAATAAGAAAGTCATTCCATAAGTGCTTTAACATAGCAAAACATCTTCAAGAACAAGGAAGAATAAAAAAGCAAATTATATATTTATATATATCTCGAATTTAAAAAATGTTTTTCATCCTTATTAAATTATAATAAAATAATATAAATGAAACTTAATGAAGAAATATAAGTGGCTACTTATGCATGAATGGCATTGAATCAAGTGAGAAGACTCATGGTATTAAAGCACCATGAGAAGACAACGATACGAATCATACAGAATTAAACTGCAGCAGGAGTTATAAACAATTCTGATGGCCAATATTGTATAATGGAACTATGGAAGTAAGCCTTCAGAGAGGAAGCAGCAACGACAGAAAAATTAAACTCGACTAAATTTCACCAAATTCTCATCTAGATGTAAATTCTGCAACTGAAACTCCGAAGAAAGCTATACCAAAAGGCCAATAATGTTCATCTACATTTCAAAACCCTCAATACTTACCCAAAAATTTTGATAAAAAAAAAAAGGTGGCATTACAGCAAAAAAAGGACAATTTGATGATAATACATGGCTACCTCCCTTCCGACAAAATATTGATCGTTCAAACAAAAACTACTCAATCTAATCCCATCCAGTAGCAACAATTTGATCATATCTAACATTATAGCTACCTGTATCATCACCATTGTCATCGCCTGCTCCAATGGAATAATCAGCATCAGCACCAGCACTGCAACTATCATCACCAACTTCATATGAGCAGCCACTCTTTATGTCTCCATTGTTGAGAAAACCAGCATCTCCATGAGAAGGAGCACAACTACTCTCACCATAAGACTCAGATTTATAATTTCCAGTCCTCAACTGCAAATCTTCTTTCCTAAAATCCTGCCCCCCAAATCTGTTTCCACCATGGTGGCGGCTCCTTTCTCCCACATAGGAGGAGGGTCTACCAGCATATTGACAAAGCCAATCAGGAACCTCTTGGCATGATTCTTGCATCAACTCTACCAAAGCCTTAGCCAATGGCTGGTTAGCATCATTAAAGAAAGCGGTTGCTAAGCCACTCTTTCCAGCACGGCCTGTTCGGCCTATGCGATGAACGTAACCATCAATATCTCTTGGTAAATCAAAGTTGATGACATGTGCAACATGCGGAATGTCGAGACCACGTGAAGCAACATCAGTCGCAACCATTATTGGAGTTGCACCACTTTTAAATGATTTTAATGCTTGCTCGCGCTCCTTCAAAGAGCAAGAAGATAAGAGTAAACAGATATGCATTTATAAAGTAGCCATGTAATGATGATGATGATGATGATCATAAACTTCAGTTTTTCTTTTCTTTTCTCCTTATGGATGGATAACTGGCACATAAGTTTTCAACTTTTTATAAATAAAGTCATAGGCTTACATTAGAGGAAGGAAATGTATACAAGAAAATAAGGTAAGACTTCAGTATGCTAAAAGAAAACAACCAATAAAGTAAATCACCAAATGTAAATACTGTTTCGGGTTTCAACTAATCAAAATTTATGTTGGTACATACAAACTAAACAAAATAACACAATTAAACATACTAGTTGATTTCGGTCACCATGAATTGCACTAGCGGGGAATCCTTTCATGCATAACCAGTTTTGTAAAGAATCTGCGGCTCTTTTGGTTTCAACAAAAATTAATGTCAATGGTAGCTGCAAGAAAAGCTTACTAGTTAACAGAATAATCTTTGGTGCAAAGGATGTGATGCAATTTTAGGCAAGAATACCTTTGCATGAGAACCGTTCACTTTGTCTGATTGAAGAAGAGCCTTTAAGCAGTTTCTCTTATTCATATCCAACACAAATTCAACTCTCTGTTTAATGAGCTCTGTGCTGGATCCAACCCTCCCAACGGTCAAGAAAATGTAATTTTTAAGGAAGTCTGATGCCAAACGCTGTACAAGTGAGAAGAAATGATGAAGAGATAAATATGCATAATGACACAAAGATTCACATGGAGGTTGAAAGATCAATCAACTGAGGTTCAAATATAATCCAAGATATTTATAATTCCTTGCAAACAATAAAGTGATTAAAAGTTTGATTGGTGGAAACATAAGGTGATCATTATCTTTCTTCTGCATAGCAGCCAAATCTAAAATAGAATACCATTTTGCAAAGAAAGTAACAAGTATGAGAAAAGAAACCTGTATTCCGTGGGGAAACGTTGCACTAAAAAGCATAGTTTGCCTAATGCCAGGAGGTGGCATGTCCATTTGCTCAACTATCTTTCTTATCTGAGGTTCGAATCCCATATCTAACATCCGATCAGCCTCATCTAGTACCAGATAATTGACCTTTTGAAGTGAGATCCTAGCCCTTTCAATTAAGTCCGTCAAGCGCCCTGGTGTGGCAACCAAGATATCTACGCCTTTCTCCAAATTGCGAAGCTGTCAAAGTACAAATCTAGCCTAAGTGTGAAACAATATATGATATAACGCAGCCAATAATTCCAAAATATACAAGAATGCACATATAGAGAACTCAACAAAGTCAAACATAAAGTAAACATAATTCAATAGATGCAAGCATAAGAGATAATTAGTCATGAAGATCAATGCATTATTCTAGAAGAACAAATGAAAAAACAAAGACTTAATACAAAACAACAAATGAGATAATTTTGAGGGTGTAATCTCATTTCTGAGGGTGTAATACTATAAAGCAAATACACTGAACATAGAAATACAACATTATCACTAGCAAGGTGAAAACCAGTTTAGAATTCGCATAGCAACCCCATTCAAAAATGACGATAATGTATGCTGCCTTCTGGCATAAGTAACTACATCCAAACAAACGTCACAGCACCATAAGTGAAGCACAATTTGAATGAATCCAAGAAAAAAACAAAATTTAAAAAAAAAAAAAGGTATTTTAACATTATTATTAGAGAACCTGCGTATTTTGCACCATGTTCAATCAGTAAGTTCGGAAACTATAAATTTTGTCAGCATTTTCAATGCCACTGTCATTAAGCGAATAGTTTAAAAGACACGGGAAAAACAAGTGTCCACAAAGAAGCACAACGTTTTTTCTTATGCCGCATGACCATTAATAAACATTTTTGTGCAAAATTTCAAACAAGCAGCCGCGCGCGCAATTAGGTTTATTATTACGGCCTTCTATCCTTTAAATTTCATCTAGAATTTAGACAATCCTTAAAATCACACCTTAAAGCAGTTAAAAATCACAGTGCATAAAAGCAAAATTGTAAAAGATATTTAAAAAAAGAATACCTGGAGGAAAGCCGGAGCTCCCCCGTATACCACACCAACTCTAACGCCCGTTTGATAAGAAAACTTCTTTGCCTCGTCATGAATCTGAAATCACGGCAGCATTGACAGCAATAAAGATAAATAAAAAAAATTTATCAAACGTAAAACCAACTACTAACAGATTATTTAGACCTGGCAAGACAGTTCTCTGGTAGGAGAAAGAATAAGCGCCTGAGGGCATGCCAGCCGACCTCCCTGGTAGCGCCCATTCTTAAGGGGAGGCGAACTTCTCATTACCTCGCTGATGATTGGAAAGCAGAATGCAGCGGTCTTTCCTGAGCCCGTCTGAGCGCAGGCCATAAGATCTCTTCCAGCAAGAGAAATGGGAATGGCATAACGCTGCACCGGCGTGGGATTCACGTACCGGCACCGCTGTATATTTCGGTTAAGAGCCTCACCGAGGTCAATCTCGGCGAATGTGCTCGCGGGAGGCGGCACATCAGACCCACTCGTCTCAACGGGAATGTCCTCATAAGCGCTAAAGTCGATGACGTTTCCAGCTCCATCGCCAGCATCAGAGATCCGGAGATTTCCCATCTCGTTGCAGGCGATTCCAAATGGATTTGGCACTAGAGAAGCCCGACGGTTCCCACGTCCGTGCCGTGGAGCACGATGGCCCATATCCCTTGCTCCAAAATAAGCTTCACCCGATTCCGCAGCAGAAGCCAGCGAACGCTCGTGCCGTAAATGTGGGGGAATGTAGGCAAATTTCCGTGAGAGAAAGCAGTCATTGGATGCTCCAGATTCGGCCCAAGCGCCATAGCCGGACATTTTGTCGCAGGTGTCGGAATCTAGAAGAAGAAATAAAATTCAAAACCTAACTGAAATCGATCTCTCAATAAACGTGTATTCCCATAATGCAAACCTTGAAGTGCCGTCGCCTAATGGCTACCAAGATGATACCGTCCTGAATGAAAATCCGAAGAAAAGAAGAGCCGGTCTCAGAAACCCTAAAAGGATCATAAAAAAGAAGAAAGAAAAAGTAGCGAATCGATGAGGAGGTAAAAAGTGATGATGATGAGAGTGAGCTTTAAGAGGACCATCGGTAACTCAAACGACTGACCCCTCGGAAGAAAGGAAGGAAGCAGCGGAACTTAAAGTTTTTTTTCCTTGAACATTTTGAGGCATATTAAATAAATAATTAATTAATGGCGGCGTAATTCGAAAAATAGAGAGGCTTCACCTTCACGTTTATCCCGTGCGTGCGACAACATAATGCGACACGTGCGGCTTCAGATCCTCGCGCCATTACAACGCAACTCAGAACAAGTCCGTTGGGCCTTCAATTAGGGCGGACATCGGATTCTCCGAGGACACACTTTATTATACACTAAAAAAATAATATGACGACAATTCTCTGTGTCTTTACAAAATATTTTTTCTTGATTAGAAGCCTCGAGAAAAATATAATAATATCAACTTGTATTGAAATTTAATAATCCGATCAATATGAGAGATTTTTTTTTTTAATACAGCTTGTTTATAATGATGAAGGTCTTTTGTATGATTATAAATTTAGACAAACACAATGTTGCTTAATCCTAATCACATATTTCCGAAATGAATTTATTGAACCATACTCTTTTTAAGATACATATTATAACGATAAAGATTTATTATTAAAAAGGTTAATAGAATAATTCTCTTGAATTAATAAGAATAATACATCTACCTCTTGTTTTCATTGAGCCTTTTCAAAGACGATTTATTAAAAAAAAAAAAAAATTATACAAAACTGATTTAAAAATGATAGATATATTGTTATTTCTAGAAAACAAAGATTATATGCTAGTGAGATGGTGAGCTCTATTTTCTTAAGTTGATTCAATGATAGGATCCTCTTGTTTAATCTATTTGACATCATATGAGCGAGTTCCTTTTTATTTTCTAATACCACTCAATATATGTGATATATCATCAAAAAAGTATCTTGATCAGACACGAATCTTGAGGCAAAAATCAAGTTGGAAACTTCAAAAACTTGATCAAGGAATTCAATGTCGACTGTTCATCCAACCACTCTCCATTTACCCATGATCTCTCACCTATTTACAAGCCATGCCACTCCATAATATCTATAAATAGACCCATCATTTCTCTTGAGAGGGGACCCAAGCAAGAGAAGAATAAAGGATATGAGGGAAGAACTACTCCTCGACCATCGCCTGAGTTCTGCCCTACGCCCAAGTGACGTCAGAATTCTACCTAAGTGACACCGGAGTTCTGCTCGACGCCCAAAAGACATCGGAATTCTGCCCGACGCCTGAATTCTGCCCAAGCAACCCCAAAATTCTGCCTAAGTGACGCCGGAATTCTGCCCGAAGCCCAAGTGGCACCAGAATTTTAAGTGACTCTGAATTCAACTCGAACACACAACTTGAGTGTAACTAGACTTCCACCGGGAGTAAATCATTGTAACCTGATCGTCCTAAATTCTAAGAACGAGTCAGTCTCTTGTATATCAAGCAAATACTAGTGGAATCTTTTCGTTTGGACGTGACCCAGTGGTTTTTTCCCTTTCTCGGGTTTTCCACGTAAAAGTCTAAGTGTTTTTATTTCTCTCATGTTTGTGTGCTAGATATTCTTATAACACTGAGACGAGAATTTTCCTTTAAGTTTTAAAGATGATTAATGTTGATGTGGATAATATATTCTCTCAAATATAGAATTATAAAAAATAATAATTTTTTCTTGGACAAATCTTCTTATAAATGAGGGTTAAAAATTGTAATTGTGTTACGCTAATAATATAAATAATTTTGATGATTTCATGCAATAAATTTTCTAACCTCCTTTATTAGAAGATTATTATTATATATATGTGGAGGGTGCGTGGGGATTTAAGGGGTTTTTAAATTAAAATCACATGTAACCATAACAAATCAAAACAAGAAACAAAAATATACAAGAAGTAAAATAAAGCAAAAAAGAAAAAGTGAACCATAATTTTTATGCTGATTCAACCAAACTAATCTACATCCACTCTCCCGAGTCCTTTCCCTAATAATTTCACAAACCACTCATTCTGATCCCAACAAGACAGAGAAGTCCTCCTTCATAGGGATCAGAGAACACCCTTATACCTTTCTTTTATTGAAAAGACACCATCCTTCTACACCCAACAAAACAGAGATGCTTCACCACTAGTCTCTAGCTAGCACAAGAGTCTTCTCTCAAGACTCTTTTGAGCTCTTGCACTCATGAACCCTCGCTCTATCAACAACTAAGGCAAAAATACATAAAGTAGGAAGAACAACCTTTAATAAATCCCATCTCCTAAACACCTCACGATCACCCAATCTCTCTCACCTTCTCTCATTCACACATTAGAGTAAGTCTCTCTCAAAAACTATCGCACAACTCTCTTGATTTCTCTCAAAAAAGTTTGAGACTTTCAAAGACATCCCAAAAGACCATAAAAAAAAATTATGTTAAGCTCTTAATTAAACCCTACAAATTCTAATATCATTAATTTGTGAAGGATCATACAGTCTGATCAAAAGATCATATATTACAATCTAAACAAATTTGCCGACCAAAGAAGGTAAGAAAATCATTGCAAATGCAATAAACACACATTATCAAAAGGGAAGCACTAAGCACGCTGCAAAACTTCAAAGTGTTCTTCAAAGCCCATCATCATCAACCTCGTGACTAAAACCTAACTAGGGAGGTTTTTAGGTTTTGAGATTATTAGAAGTTATTTTTTTCATTATTTATCAACAATATGCAATCATGGATGAATTTATGCTTTTAGATTAAAAAAAAAACCTGGAAGATATATTTCATGTTGTAAAAAAATTTATTTATCTTGATAATATGTAGATCATTGTGATGGAATTACACTTGCAACGCACATAATGTTTCCTAACGTGTCTGAGGAATTCTTGTATGATGTTTGATGTTATTTGGAATGGCAACAATAGAAGATCCAATCAAGTGTGGTTGAAATAAAATAACTCTAAATTTACTCTAGCCGTTTGATTTAGGCTTTGTTCGGAACGACTTTTTTTACTGCTTCTTAAAGCAGCTTTTTAGTACAAATTTTTTAATTTTTGTACTAAAAAGATGTTTTAAGAAGCAAGAAAAAAGCCACCCCAAACGAAGCCTTAAGCTTAGTTTGGGACGGCTTTCTTACTACTTCTTAAAGCAGCTTTCGAGTAGAAAAAAATTATTTTTTGTATTAAAAAGCTATTTTAAGAAGCAATAAGAAAGCCGCCCAAAACGAAGCCTTGGAATATCTCCTACCTTCAACTTTGTCTCATACCTTCAAACTCATTCACTAACTTAAACATTAGGGTATCTTTTCCTTAAAAACTATTCATCCAAGTATGCTCTTCCTACACAGGAAACAAGCACAACAACAATAACAAATTTTTATCCAATTGCGTGTGGTCAGCTTCATGAAATTTAATAACTAAATATCATTTCTAATATTTTCTAGCCTTTAGGACTACCTCTATTTTTGTTAACATATGGGTCATGATTATTCGACAAGTTTTATACTGACTGTTACATATTTAACGCAATTTTCCACTTTTATCATTCATGATTTGAGACCTAACAACTTACAGTATCAATAAATGATCAAACTTAATAAAAAAAAATATTGACTTCGCCAAAAACCTTCAAAAATACATTTCTGATTTCATGGTATTTCCATACAATGAAACCATATAAGACAAGTTAGAAATGTGACAGATTATGAACCTTTTTGCACCAAGCCAACAACTTCCCAAATTATTTGTGGTACAAACGAAACTAGCAAGAATCTAAACTATAATATTTACAACCCTTCGAAATGAAAGAAGGAAATGAATTTAGGAAGTTCTATGCCAAACTAACCAGCTAAAAAGGAAAGAAAAAAAATCATATTTTGTTTATCAAACTGCACCATCTTAACTCTTCTAATCAGAACTTGTAGGCAGCTGAACTCTTCTAATCAGACCTATTTGTTTTAAAGATTTATTTACAACTGTGATGAGCCAGCAAGAATAACAGAAATTTCTACTTCTATAAAGGGTAATAGTACTAGGCCATTAACTAAACTTCTTTCATCTAATCTGAATGAATACCAAAAAATTTTGAGCAGTCAGCACTGAGAAATGTATGACAGATCAAAATCTCCAAAATAGGGTCAGTGTTTGCAGCATCTTCATGACTAAAAGTTGCATGCCATATGAGAACCTCCAATTTCAATCAGTCCGAGTTGTAGCAGATTGAGATCGTTGTCTTCCAAACAGCAGATATGTTAATACAACCATGGAAGCCATCAATAGTGTAAACTGTAAAAGAGGATATATAAGTAAATTAATAGAAAGTAAGAGTCTTAAAAGTTTATCTGAAATGATGAAAATATTTCTCTTGAACGAAGGAAAAGATATCTGTATTTTACCAAAAGTGGTATAGTCAACAAGCCCCAAATAGGCCACAAACCATATGATAACCTGCAAAATAAAAGAATTCAGCATAGATTTCAAATATGTTTTCATAACATACAAACATTTGGTACAAAGCTCTTCATGCAGAACGATATGCTGCAGAAAATCAATAAGAAGTTCAAAAAAAATTTAACTTTTCAGATTTTAACCGAGGTTGTAATTCGTGAAGGAAAAGAAGTTAAAATCTACTTACAAGCAGAATGAGGCAAGTCCAAGCAAAATAACAAGTGGCGCGATTGCCCGTAATGCTTCATTTTTATCATATGGTTTTTTTGAAACCTTTGCCTGAAGAACAGCATACATAATCAGGCATATATCCATAACAATAACAACTAGACCAAGATGAAGAGCCTTCCTGCAAAAATTAAAAAAAGATAATTAAGAGTAAGAAAATATAGAAAGAGAGTAGATGTGAATAAAGTAAAGAACACTGGATATTCATATTATTAAAGCATTTGTAGAATTGACTTATTCTGGAAAACAGAGCCCTTTCATTCATATATGAAGTCAAGTTTTGCAACAAATTCTCTGATTCCTTTACTTACCCATCACCACTTTAAATTAAAAATTTCCACGCCACATCCAACAACCACTTATGCTCATCATGTGGCAATATATAATTGTACAAAAAGATATGGTGTTTCCTATAGCAAAGATATCTATATGGAATTGATGCTTCGAATGACTCTTTGGCACTCAAGTTGGGAGATAAAGAGCATAACGATACAGAAAGCATGCCTAAAGGAGATAAGAAGAAAGACAAAAATATAAGAAGTGAGCATCTCTTCAAGGATCTAGAAGGGTTTTGTGGAGTCTTACAAAACGAGTTCAGAAATCTGTATCTAATGAAGCATCAGCTTCAGAAACTAATCGGGTCTGCATAGAAATGAATGATTAAAGTTGCATTGTTCATCTCAATAGGAATTAAAGCGATTTTAAGTCCATATACGTGTCATATTCTTCTAGCATTATTTATTGTCATGTGAAAATATAGTATTTTGGAACATTTTGATTTGAAAATTGGACTTTTCTGCAGCTTCATTCATGTTTTTTCCGGTTTCAGGCGTGCAGGTTTAGCTGTACTTTTCAAATGTACATGCTCCATATTTGGTACATAATCAAATGACTCTTCTAAAGTTTCCCATGACCATAGCATTTCTATTTTAAACAGTAGTCAATCTAACAATCTCTTGCCTAGTCTCAAGTTATTTGATTTCAAAACATACTCCTAAATATCTGGGGACATTTCTCATGCTTTTCGTCTGAATATACTCCAGCAGATCAAACATTTAAACTGAGTTAAATTTTTTTTTTAATGGCACCCCTCGATCCATAAAGATATATTTAATGTAAATCCTCTCTATAGAAAGTGCCTCCTCTTTCATTAGTCTAGATATAGAAGATTCAGCAAAAAGTGTTGCAAAAGAGCATAATCTAGGCGTGAGGCCTCCTCCTATTGCAGTTCAGGAGAGGGGTTGATGTAGACAATGCCGCCAAATCATAACTCCAAGTCAGTTCTCTAAAAGTGTGATAAACAGACAATTATGAAAAAAAAAAATTAACACACGATTTCTGCAATTAGAAGGTTCAAAAACAATTAATTGTAGAAAAAAAAGACATAATTTATGCACTCACGATGAAATTGAAAAAAATAAATCACAGAATCATAACGATAAATTAGATAACGGAGACAATCAGATTTATCTATATTCATTAGTCTGGGTTTCTGAGAACATAACAGCGTTGGCCTCAAAGAAAACGACCATAAAGTTTCATATTTCTCAGAAGAAAGATCCATAAATCGAAATAAAAGAACTTCTGAACCATACCTGTTAATCCTTAAATCCGACCACAATACGCGCAGGAAATTCCGACGGCGATCGCCATAGTAAAATATGAATGTAGCAGAAACCAACCAAATTATATTCTCCAAAACATCAACCCAACTCTGCGTCCGGCGCACCACCAGCAATGACGAAGATGACGAGATGGTCAGCCTCGAACAAGCATCGTCTTCAAGATCATCCCCGCTCGACGCATAACCCTGATTGCATCTCTGCCGCACAGTGCCCACCGGCGTCCCACCTGACATTGCTATATCTCCAAAGAAACACAACCCAGCTTCGTCCAACTCCAAAGTCTTCTTAACCAAAAAACCTCACAAATCCCTCTGAAGAAAATGAAAAAAATAAACTTTTGAGACGACTAGGCATCGAAGAAGAATCCAACTAGAAAACGAAACAAAATCCAAGGCAACATCCGGTTAGGACGAACCTTGGGACAAGGATCGTTTCAAAATGGAAGGACTTCGTGGAGTGTAAGAAAGGTTTTTATCGCCTCGGATTAGGAGGATCAAAAGAGAACAGATAACCCATCTCGAAACGTCCGAACCGAGACGATTCGGCCCTTCTGTTGTATATATAATATCTAGTTGGGGGATTAATAAAAATAATAATAATAATTAAAGCGGGGCCTTCTATGAGAAGAACGACTTGGTAGCTTCTTCAGATTGGTTGGGATTTCCCAATGGTCTTGGAGTGGACGCAGGCGAGAGCTGGCGGCTGAAATTATCAAACTGACGTGGGAACTGGGCGCTGATGGGAAAGGGAGGGGTGAACGAGGGTCAAATTTTAGGTCTCAACAAAAAAGAATGAGAGAGAGAGAGATTATTATAATGTGCATGAAAATACATATTTTTAGATGAATTAATATTAGTGATATTTTTTATAATTTATACATTAGAGTGTCATGCAAATAAATATAAAGATTTATTTATTAAATATATAAATACATAAAAGTTTTTATGATATGCATATAAATCCCTCAAAAAGATTAAGTCAAAATATCTTAATTATTATCAACACATCTCCTTAACTTCGACCTATGATTAAGTCAGGATTTTATTCGATTAATGATCTTGGTCAAAAAGATTGTAGTATAATGACAGTGGTAAAAAAGAATGTACTTGGGCGATGGCTGTCAGGGAGATTGTAATTTGGAAATGTTGGTAGGAGGATTGTAGTCGGCAAGCGACGGAGGTAGGAAAGATCGTAATTGAGCGACGATGGTCAGAAGGATTGTAGTTAGAGGGCAACGAAGGTCGAAAAAATTGCAGTTTGGGAGGAGATCCGAGATTGATATCATGCAGGAAGAGTTCCGGCGATAGTCGAAGAACGAACAAAAGTCCAGTAACCACTAGTTGTTAGTAAGGGATCCAACGTCAACCAACAAAAGGGTGAAAGAATCCAATGATGGTTGGTGGTCGGGAAGATATTCAACCGTGGATGAAGAATGGGCAGAAGTCCAGTGATGGTCAGAAAGAAATTCGGTGGCGGTCGACGATTGGGAGGAAATCTAATGACGATCAATGGTCGGGAAAAGATCCGGCGGTGGTTAGCGGCAAGAGAACTCAGCAAGTTCTCTTCTTCTCTTCTTCCTCTCTCTCTCTCTCTCTCTCTCTTTCTCCTCCCCCTTCATATGAAAAATGATTAGCTATTTATAATTTTTTTCGGAGTGGTATGACTTGTAAATATGGAGAAGATCAAGGGCATGTACTTGGAGTGTTTCATTGGACGACTATAGTGATCCCATTGATCAAGAAGCGTTTATCAAGCATTTAGATTCCCTAATGATTTCAGAATTGAGTGATCTTGGACTCGTTGGATGTCTCATCGAGACGCTCAATTCTACTATAAGTATGACATATTCATATAACATTTGGTAGTCCAATTAATGCTCTAAAGCAACCAAGTAGACTTTAGATCTTTGATTTAGGCTCAGATTGAATCGAAATTGATGTATTTGGATTTGTCTGCTTGAGATGTTCAATTTGCCAATAAGCTTGCTGGAATTGGAGATCAGATGATCCTGATTTTAATTTTTGAAGCCTTAATCTCATATTTGCATTAAGATTTGTGTCAAATCAAAACAATTTTTGGTGACGTATCAACTCTCGGATTATTATGACTCTCACTGTCATTTATATTTCAACAAGTAATATTTTTCTACCAAATTTATTTTTTGATAAATTTACATCTGTTGGCTTTATGATATATATATAATTTGCACATGCATCTTACATGAGAGAGATCTTAGATTTTCATTTCAAATTTGGAAAAGATAAATAAAATCATAAATTATTTCATCAATTTAATAGCTATTTACTTCGAGTTATTATAATCTTTAAATTTCATTTATATTTTGATGGATAGATATTTTTCAGTGTACCTTTGATTATATTTTTAATTGTTTTATTCAATTAACCTAAATTTATCAATGACTTTCTTCAAAACAAGATGAGTGAGACTTATTGTCAACAGAGAGGTCAGAGAATGCCATTTTTTTATGTTAAAAGATGCATGCTTATAGTTTGAATTAAATAGGGGCAATTCTGTAATATGACGCATTTGCACATGTCAATCACATGATCAAAACCCCACCAATGCTAAGATTAGTTCTCACCTGTTCCTTTGTTAGTTTTTAGGGATTCTAATTTTGAATTTATATTACTTTTATATTTAATAATGAGTTAATTTTTTATTATAAATAATTTCTTAAAATTAGCATTTATCTTCTTCAAATTTTCTATATATTTTACTTTCATTTATGTTTCGAGTATCTCTTATTTTTTTAAATGAATATTTGAATTGATTAATAATAACGATATGTGGCAAATATTTAAACTCGCGTGATGGGAAAATTTGAATGATAGTCCGATCTAATTTATCAGTAAAAATATATTATTTATTTTCCAAAAAAAAAGATATTATTAAATTGTGTGTATAGGAAATAAAAATGAAAGAAATGGAAAATAAATTCCGCCTGAAAATGGACTAAGGATATTATTTTAAAACAAACGAGTTAAATATAAATGATGCTCAGCTCAGTTCGTGGACCTTATTGATTTCACTGTAAAAAAAAAAAAATTTTTTTGGTTTGTTACCTAACCAAATAGAAAAGTTTTTTTTTTTTTTTATCAAAAGATAATATAAAATTCATTCGCATAGAAAGCTATCTATAAAGGAAAATAGTTAAAACTTTTATTCAAAAATCACTTTTAGAATGGCTGCCACATTAGCCATAAAGAGGAATGATACGAGTTAATATATATCCATGCAATTTAAATTAAGAACCAGCGTCAAATGCCAAAAAATTCTATAAAAATTCTTAATATGGTGGCCAAATAGCGGTGGTCATATAACAACGGGCAAGCGAAGATAGTCATACGATGATAGTCAGCCGATATCGATGGGAAGCATCAAAAGTTAGTGTCGAATGTTAAACAAAATTTAAGTGTGCTAATGACATTGGAGTTAAATGATATTTAGACTTCTTAGATTCATATTATTGAGCCACTCTATTTAATTATAAGTATACAAAATTTGGAGACAACTTAGTCCTTCAATTGATATCCTAAAATTATCATTCATACTTAACTGCTTGATTTGAGCTTTTTGGACTCAAAATTTGATTATTGTTGATTGTGTTCAGCTATTCTTGTCATGATGCTTAATTCCTCAATAAATTTGCTAAAATCAGAGTTCAAATGGCTATGAATTTAATTATAAAAATATTAAACACAAATAATGCATGAGATTCACATCAATCAAGTAAAAATTTTAAAGACGTATATATTTGATCCAAATTTGTTAGTGAATGACATTTGCCCCTACTAACAAGTTTAACTAGCTAGAGCAAAAAGACACGATGAAGGAATAAATGAGTATGAAGAACAATTAAGAGATCAAATAATATTTATGAATAATAAAAATGACATGAAGTGCAAAACATGCATCTTAACCTCTTATTTATAGGGGTTTAGCAGATTAGTGCATAATAACATAGAAACATAAACTAGTCTAGATGGTATGCACGTGGTCATTTGCTTATGATGTGGCTTGAGATGCCGACAGTGAATACTCCGCCGAGTCCTTAAGGGCAAGTGCCTTGGGTGAGCACCTTCCGCAAATCCACCAAATGAGGGGCAAATCTCTTGGGATGAACGGCAAGTCTTCTAAGTGAATGTAACTATGAATTTGGGACAAAATTAGTTGATTGAGCCATGACTCTGTGCTTCACATGTATGTGCGCCTCTTATAGCTTGGGTAAGGATATCCATCAACGGTGAATAACCTTAAGATAAGGAGAACTACTAAGAAAGTCGAGTCGTTGTAAGGCGAGTGCCTTTTCAAGTGAAGCTTGTTGAGACGAGTCCTCCAATTTAACTTGCTCCGAATACGCACATCCTTGACCTGATCCTCCGAGGGCGAGCTTCTATGCCGCAAACTCCAATAGGGTGAATACCTGCATATCTATAGCATATTTCTAGCAACTATTCCTCCGGACGAGGCTCATTTCTCAAGTACTTGCAAGTTATTTTTGTAGGCATATATGGACATACATTTAGTTTCCCAATTTATTAGCTCCTATGAAGACAACTTTTGAAAATGACAAAGGAATTATAAAGAAACATATTTAATAAACCAACCAAATAACAATTTGAAAGTAAATGGAATTTATTACTCTGTTTTAATATTGCTTTGAGAAGAGCGCATTTATCCAAGATTCTCATATTAACAGCTGGCTCCAGGTTCGTGGGTTGCCAAGAGTGTGAAGATATTGACCACGTAGTTGGCCGTTGCAAGCAATTACATGATACTTTAGATGTTTTACAACAATGGGTTTTTTTCACTCCTCGGTTTCATCAGTTACAGGAGTTACAAGATTCTTTAAGCAATTCTCATTATTGGGCATTACCATATTGTTATGCTACTTATCAGTGTTGGCGGAATCGTAATGCTATAAAGCATGGCCGAGCATGTTGCACACCGACTGTCATGGCAGCAAGCATTTTAGAAGCGTTTAACCAGCATTTCATTTTCAACAACCTTGAGCGCTGGGGTACTTCTCAACCCAATGGATTGTCTTCTACAACTTTTTGGCAAGTATTCTGTGAAGTGTTCAAAAAATCTCTATATAAGCAGTTTGCAAGTAAGTTAAAATGTTAAGTACACTTTTTATTGGTGTTCTAGTACTTTAGCACTATTTATTGTATTATTATTATTATTATTACATATTGATTTGCCACTACAACCTATAGATGATGAAAAAAGAAACCTTCACCATTGGAATAGCAAAAAAATCTGTGATCCGAAAATTCACGCTCCGGCCTCTCTGCAGCCCCTTTTCTTTTCTTCGGGTTGTCAATGAGAGTTTTAATGCTTGTGTTATGAGACAAATTTTCAGAAGTCATATTGGATTATGAATAAAACATTACCCAGAGATTTCATCCTCATTTTGCGAGGACTTCATAATCTCAGTTCATATTTACTATAGGTGCAAGCCCCTATAGTTAATTGCCCCTCCCGATAACGAGAGAGAGCATTCGATTAGGCAAGTCGTCAAACAGATATGTAATATTTGATGCATAGTAGCAACATCTTTATGTATTTAAGAATTTATTATTTAAAATTAAAAATTCAACACCTTGCACTTAAAGCGGATGGCGGGGGGACTGATGATAAACACAATCAAGATCTCATGGTTTTGTCGTCCCGGGCCATCATGGTCTCGAGTCTACTTATTCAGAGGAGGTAGTCAACACAACTTGATAGAAGGATACTTATTGTCAACCATGGGTTGCTTCATTCAAGAGTACCTTGTAGACTTGGGATAGATATTTATCTAAAAGGAAAATTTGGAATCCATCTTAACTAACACAGGACTTTGTGCCCTATCGGTCATATCATATTTATTCATTACTCAATGATTTAGCGATGTTGGGGAACTTACAGGCTCCGGCAAGAGACGTATTGAGAATGAATCCTAGTGATATTCTCGACCGGGCATTTGTTCTTTGTAAGCTGAAGTGATTTTCAGATTTGTCCACCTTAACAAACTGTCATGGAGGATGGATTGGTATTTTTGATTTAGGTGTTTAGGTAATTTATATCAATTTTAAATATTTCAAGTTTTGATGATTTTTTAGTTTCTTGGGGTTATCATGAGAATTTGTGAGAGATATTAAATGTTAGTGGTCCCCTCCAAATGAGATAAACATTCAACACGGTCATTATCGGAGTATTTATGGGCATTTTTATCTTATTAGTTGAACATTATCGACTCTGTCAACTTGTCAATAGAGGATCGAGTTTATTGCCGGCTTTATGCCTCAATTAATGAATTTTCTTTGTTATAAATCTTGAAAGCTTAATATGAACATATTAAAACAGATATTTTGGTCGACGTCGTGATCGTATATCTATGTGATCGTATATCTGTGTCGTATCAACTCCTATCTGCTCGCATATGAGGATTGAGCTTGAACTTAAGTTTATTATTTCACCCGCATAACATCCTCAGAAATCATGTGTGCATACTACACGCTCATCGGGGCCCATGCGGGTAATCATATTTTAATGCATGAGGGGGCATTTTTAAATATTTGATTATAATGATTTACACAAACGACTATTGTTGAAAAAGTGTGCAAGATTTCATTTTGGCATCTATAAGCGCCTTATGTCCGCTTGTACGAGCATTGCAAATCCGGTGGCGTTATTTACCAGCGTATTTTCATACAACATTTACAGATCATTGGCAACAATAGCATTAATGAACAACATATGTCAAGTATCATTTCTTTGTATCCGAAGCTAATGCCTCAACAATCTTAAGCTTCCCTTACAACACTTCAAGCTCAAATCATGCAACTCAAACTTGCTGATGTAATATTTCTTTATCTTCAGCTTGTCACAAGGTAGCCTCCTAAAAGTGTGAACATGATCGAGCACAATATAGTTTTCAGTGTCCCAACGATATTCTAGTATCTGACATGCACATGAAACATGGAAGCTTCTCCTACAACTCTTGACATAACAACAAGGAGTGACTTTTTTCAACCCACAATTGCAACTAATATCTTGAAAGTCCAGCCTCCAATTTTGCGATCTTCTCACCAGAATAATATACTTGAGGAGCCTATTCTATGCACTTACGATGCATATGTAGGACATTAAATTGTGGGGCTTGATCTCTAGATATTTGTTCTACACTCAAATAATGCAACATTTCTCTGGAAGACCTGATATCTCTGAAGATATAATAGAATGAGATATTATTCAACTAATCATTTTTTGACTCTACAGAATCATTCAACATTATATGTTTAGTGCCATAATTAAGACCTTCCTTTGGTAAAATATCAGCGACCTCCTATTGATCGGACCCCAACCTCTCACGTATACGGGTACTTAAATTTACCCCCTCACACTAAAAAAAGTGTGCACAAGGCTTACCTGTCTCGCCGCAGGTACCGACACGAGTTTCCTCCCACTGCGCTAAAAAAAGCAGACATAAGTGGTTGCTTGCCGCATTGCAAGTGCCAAGAACAAGGTTTGGGGATAATACCTTTGCGATCGGGTCAACGGCGACCATGTTGGCCAAGGACAACCACGATGAAAAAATGTACAAATATGTTTATTTTTTCTTATTTCTTCTTTTTTTTTTCCTTTTTTTATAATTATTATTATTACAAATAAAAAAATGAGGTTAGGGGATTCAGATGGTGTTGTGAGCTGCATGAGGAAGTCGGCGGGAATCAAGCATAGTGACGGGATCGAAATAGATCTTGACTGCACGGGATTTCGTTCGAATAGATGCAGGGATTCAACTGAAGCAGGGGAGCTGGATCGTGTGAGGTTGGGGTCCGATCAATAGGAGGTCATTAGATTCAATTGGTTGGAAGAAGAGGTGTTGGTTTAGAGTGGAGTAAACGTACAGGGATCGGGCAGAGCTCGACTGGAGGGAGAAAAGCTGTGGGATCGTCACAATAGCTAGAATCGAGGGCTGGGTCGTGAGTTTGGCTTCGACTGGGTTCATGAAGTTCGAACTGACAGAATTGGATTGAAGCAACGTGCATGAGGTCAAATTGCTCGTTCGATCGAGCAGAGGAGGCCAAATAGGGTGTTGGAGTTCAGAGGCAGCAGAGGGAACCGGACGCTGTGTGTGATCAGAGGTAATGGAAGGAGTTGGATCAAGCGGCTCTGGAGTGCGGGAAAAAGAAGAACAAAGCCTCGTTCGTCTTCTCATTTTATCAACACGAGCGGAGCGGAGATCATACAGAGAAGACGGAGCGGAATGGGTGTCGACATGCAGAGTTCATGTGGAGCACGACAGCAGACTGGTACTTAAGATTTGAGCGTTTTTTTTTAATGTTTAGGTCAACACATAATTTTCATTATTATTATTTAACTTAACTCATAAATCATAATACACCAATATTTTTAAATTTATTTATTTTTAATTGGATATGTCGTGCATACCTTGTGTTCAATGCATGTCAAATCGTATTCCTTGCATTCCAAAGCTTCAGTTGAAATTTTACATCTTAATGAAGATGGAAGTTACTTCCTTTGCTTAGAGCCGCTGCTACCTCTAGAGCTTTCTGAAACAAAGTCTTCCACTGAAGCGACAAGACTTGATTCTAACTTATGACCAACCACAGCTTCCCTCACCTTTCTAACAATCTGCTGCTTAATCACTGTTCTCTCAGCAGCTGAGATGTTCTTGCACAATTCCAAGCCTCTCAGAAACCTCACAACTCCGCCACCGAGTTTCCCACCACCCTTCTCCATATTTACCAACTTCTCAATCAATCCCAATGATAACATTCTTTCTATACAAGGCTTGCTTCCTGCCTCAACTAGATCAACTAGAAAGAGCATGTTCAGCTCCTTTGTCTTCAATAACTTGCTATCTAGCCCTTGTATTAATCTCTCTATGACTCCCATCTGTAGTAATCTGTTAAAGAACAGGCCACTTCCCTTCCCAAATATAATATGATGTAGAGCCATATATGCTGAGTCCTGTAAATCCTCTTTGAAGTATTGCATCATCCTGACTAACTCCAGAATAATATCAGACTTTAAAATCCTTCGGATGAAGGGTTCGCCTCCAGAGCATGTTAGTTTCATCAGAATGAAAGCAGACTCCGACCTTGCACGATCCCATTCCCCATCTCGGTTTTGCAGAAGTGAAGCTAATCTTTCAACCAAGTGGCTTTTTAAGATCATTTCGCAGATCATTGGGTCACTTGCTTTCTCAACAATAGGTATCATCTCCTGCAATGCCTCAGAAACCTGTTTTCTTTCCTTGCTAAGGGTCCTATCAAGCAGATCTTCAAATAGTTTAGCCTTAGGAGAACACGTAATGGTTCTATCTGAAATTTTGAACGTTTCAAAGCTAAGCCTAACATTCCATGGCAAATTGTTCAAGGCCCCAGGAGGAAGAAGACTTTGTTCATTCACCCCATCAAGCTCATAAAATGTCTTGAGAGCAACAATAGCATGATGCTGTGCAACCTCAGAGCCGTTCTTGAGGAGCACAAGAAGCCTCTTATCAATTCCGGAAGCCATCATCATTTCAACTGCTTTAGATTTGCCAGCCTTTGTAAGCGACATTAGAGATGTGCATGCGCTCTCATACCATTCCTCACTTTCTGGAGCAAATAGCTCAGCTAGCTGATTCATTGGAACGCTCATTAGAACCTTGTCAATAGTTGAAGTGTTCCCAAACTCCGCAATCTTTGCCACGCAGTTTGTAACAATTGCTAGACTTTGCAAGTTATCGCAGTCCTGTAAAAGACTCAGTAGTCTATCAATTGCAACAGTGCTTTCAAAGGAGAGGGCATGGTCACAATAATCTTCTTTGGTAAAAATGGTTGTGATAGTCTTAGAAACTGCGACAATTAGTGCTTGTGAGCCATTACTAGTTGAGATGAGCTCTGCAGCTCTAGGACCAAGTATAACACTGAAACTCTTTCTGCTAGCTTCAAGTTCAGAGATTGATTTGCTTGCCATGAGTGACTGAATGATGTTTTCCAAAGTATTGATGACTTGCATCTCCTGTGCATTAAGAAAGGACTCCATCTTCTCCTTGGAAATAAACTTAGCAGTCTCTTTTCCAAAGATGAAAAGCCAAGGAGCAATTGAGGCAGCAGAATCAGCAGAGGATTTCATAAGAATTCGGCTGATTGCATCTTCTGTTTTATTTTCAAGGTAGAGAGAAACCATATCATGAACATGATAGGATAACTGTGTGTCCATCTTGATTACTAGGGATCCTTCTACTAGCTTTGACATTATGAGGGGGAAGAGAGTTACTTGTCCTAAAACAGTCCATAATGCCTCTAGGCAAGCCTCTGGTACTGGTTCGGTCCACGAAATTGCAGCAAGAGCAAGGAAGAAAGTCCGAGACTGTTCAGGCATGGCTTCCAAGCTAAATTCAAATGAGCCAAAGATGGTTAAAGTGCTCTCTGAATTCTTTTCATTTGTATATGAAATTGGGCTTTCAGACCAAGTTGCATATGTTGAGAGGTTAAATATGGCCTTTTCCCATTTATCCAGTCTCGTCTCCTTTCTCAGAGCCTTGCCCATGACTGCAACTGTTAAAGGATGGTGGCCACAACGGTCAAGCAACCTTTCTGCAGTAGACTATGACAAGAAACATCGGAGTTTAGCTTTTAACAAAATATGAAATTGAATTTCGATTATATCTCAAAATGAAGTGAAGGAGCAATGAGTTGTTGCTCTGTTGAATTTCTTGAATGAAACTTACCCATGGCTAGTCAATTTAATCACTTCAACACCTAAATTTTTAATGAAAACTTAGATGAGATAACGGTGGTTTTTTAAGCTAAGATGGATTTTATCACAACATACCTAACTTCAGAGTAAAGTTACAGGAAAACCTAGGTTAGCTCCAGTGCATTGCTATGATGATTATGAGAACCTCGTGCGTTTTAAGATGGATACTAAACTATGAAGTCGCTTGCACAACCTTAAGCCTTCAGCTGATAGAAAAACCTACACAGGCTTCTTCTATTAATGCATTGCTTTAAAAAAAAAAAACTATAATTTGATTTCTGGATTAAACTACTGTGTGCAGCCCAGTCCCTATTGAAAAAAAGTAGGCACACGGGAGCAATGGTGATGACTAAAAATAAACTACAGAAAACTTAAAATAGCAGACAAAATTTACATTATTTAGGGAGATTATCTCACCTAGTTCATTAATGAGCAAAAAAATATTTTTTTTAAATCATAGATAAGAGCATATTATATGATATTTATTGATTTAGAGAAAGCATATGATAAGTTTCAAGAGAATTGTTATGGAGAGTTAAAATAAAAAAGGTTAATAATGCTTATACTCAAATCATTAAGAATATGTATGCAGGAGCTATTAGTTATGTTCAAACACAAGGTGGTTTGACCAAGTATTTTTTCTATTTCAATTTGATTACATCAAGGATCAACTCTAAGCCCATATCTTTTTGCTTTAGTCATGGATGTTCTTACTAGACATTAGCAAGATGATGTACCCTAGTGTATGCTTTTTGTTGATGATATTCTACGTTTTGATAAGACTAGAGAGGGAGTTGAAGATAAAGTTGAATTATGGAGGTCAACATTAGAGTCTAAAGGTTTCTATTTGAGTAGATCTAAAACCGAATACATAGAGTGTAATTTTAGTAATAATAGATCTAATGGGAGGATTGTGACTTTTGGCGATCAAATCATTAATAAGAGTACTTGTTTTAGATATCTCAGGTCTATTATCTTATTAATGGTATTCAAGTTGGATGGTTTAAGTGGAGGAATGCATCAGGTCTGCTGTGTGATAGAAAAGTATCCCTCAAATTTAAGAAATTTTCTATAAGATAGTGGTGAGACTTGCAATGCTTTATGGTGCAGAATGTTAGTCATTAAAAATGAAGCATAAAATTAAGTTAAGTGTTGCAGAGATGAGGATTCTTAGGTGGATGAGTGGCTTTACTCTCAAAGACAGAATGCGAAACGACAGAATGCGAAACGAGCATATACATGAAAAGGTTGGAGTTCCTCCAGTGGCAGATAAGATTAGAAAGAGTCGCATTAGATGGTTTGGTCACATAAAATGTCGGCCTTCCGATGACCTAATTAGGAGAGTAAATGTATTAAATTTAGTCTATGTTAAGAAAGGTAGAGGTAGACCTAAAAAGACCTGGTTAGAAATAGTATAAATGATTTTTTTAATTAAAATTAAATGAGAATTTGACTCTTAACATAACACAATGGAGGAAAAAGATTCATGTAGCCAATCCCACGTAGTGGGATAAAGGCTTGATGTTGTTGTTTTTTTATAACTAAGAGCATATCAACTTTTCTCACCGCCCTTTAAATTTTGGGAGTATAATAAATAAGATCAAATGTGGACTTCAAAACACACCTGTGGCATTGTAATAGAGGACTAATTGTAGTTAATCAACGCACTCTACAGGCTCATGAGGATCAATGGAAAACAAATTAAGTATATATATCCCAGAAATTTCCCATACTAGGAATGTAGTTCCAAACAAAGCATATTTTAATAATGGGGTCAAGATCTTCCAAAAGAGCAAGCTTGTGGGGTTAATTACATCTCAGATAGGGGTGTAAGTGAGTCAAGCTAACTCGAGCTCAACTCGATAAATGCCTCGTGAGCCGAGCTTGATAAGCTAAGGAGCCCATCTTGAATCAATCATGACTCAATTAGTTAGCTCGTGAGCCGACTCATCAAATATTGTTGTACATTACACTTCAAATATATTAGCATTCAGGAGTGCAAGTAAAATGCTATTATAAATTTTTAAAAATTATTTCTCACTTTTTTTATATCAAGTGATTTTATTATCTATCTTCTAATTTCTCCTTTTTTTTAATTTTATTATAATAATTATTTGAAACATAATTATTTTTTCTTTTGTTATAAATGAGTCAGCTCGTGAGTCGGCTCGAACTCATAGAATTAAGCTTGATCTTGAGCTCGAACTCAATTAATTAATCAAGCTCAAGCTAAGGGGTGACTTGAGCCCGACTCGACTCATTTACACCCCTAATTTCGGATCTGTCCTAAAACACTTGCAATTAAGGAGTCAATGCATGTGTTCAAATCAAGAATGATAGATGTAGTTCTAATAAGGTGAAAATCAGAATGAGCAAATGGTAAGAAAATAAAGACTAACCTAACAAGAGAGTATAACGCCCCCAACCAAGATTCCATAGTTTCGGGTTTGTCGATGTCCTTAGTTTACTTGGTCATGTGGTGACTAGAGGATCATTTTTCTCAATCATGAGTTACCTCATCCAAAGGAACCTCGTTAAACAAGGGTATGGATTTAGTCCTAGGCTAACAGATGGGAATTACACTCCACTAAAATATGAGAGAGAAACTCATATTGAACTTATAGTAGCGTGTGGTAGTGCTTGGCAGGGCTCAATGTGGTAGAAAAGATGGGATGAATGTGAAAAATATGAACATCTCCTTAATATGGTAGAGAAAATAGGACAAATACAGATATCTTTTCAAAGTGATAGAGAAGACATCCAAAGAGTAAGAAATAGCTTGATTGTGTGTGATCAAACAAGTCTGGATACCTTCTCAATGTGGTAGAGGAGATGCTAAAATGAGACTTACAATTTGGTTGCATGCGACCAAGAAAGCCAAATGTCTCCTCGATCTGGTAGAGAATACATCAAAGATAAGAAAGAAATCCCGAATATCCCTCAATGTGGTAGAGGAGACGCAAAAGGGAAGGGATGATGTGGAATAATAGAAAAAGATATGGAAGATGGGACTTATAACTTGATTGTGTGAAATCAAGTAAGCCCGATCCTTGTACATCTTATCAATAAGGTAGAGAAGATGTCAAATCTTAGTCGATGTAACTAAGAAGACCCAACTGTCATCTCAATGTCATAAAGAAAATAGAAGCTTGGACTTACATCCTGCCTAGATCAGGAATGCCAATCAATTCACCTAGTTGCGTGTAAAAGTATAAAGTGCTTCATTCATAAGGAAGAGGAGATGGGCACATCCTAGAGTGACTAGATGAAGATGGTGTCTATGTGTGTGTGGATTTTATGTCTAAGTTATCTATCCTAGGGTGTATGAATCATATACTATAAGCATACTCACAAGGGCATGATATAGTAAATGTCATCAAAGGATAGAGGATGACACAATATATGTCTAAGTCAGCTATTTATATCCCCGTGTGATGAGCCAATATGCTCGATCACAACTTCCGCTAAAATCATAAGTTAGTCGTGTTCTGTGTTTTAGTGGTCCTAACCTACAAGTGAGTAGTTTGTATTCGTCCATACCTTCACTAACCCAGGTAATATAAAAGTGTCACAGAGCCGCCAATATAATAATGAATCTAGTGTACAAAAATAGAAACATGTATAGAGGAGTGTCGATTCCTGAATTGTTCATGTTTCTAATATTTTCTATCGTAGGGTTCCCTACAAACAAAAATTAGGAACATGGCAAATCATGCCATATTCACATCATGCTTCATCCATAAGGACATAAACCTGTAATATTATAATCATTATACACATGTGAATGGTAAAACATAACTTATGACAATTATGCTTGTTGCAATTAAATTAAAATATTTATAATTCAGTAAATTAAAATTTAGCATTGAGTTCATCATTGAAATGGATTAAATTACCTATAACACAAATAAAACTATACCAAACAAATGTAATAAAGTTCTATTTTATTAAAATCAAATTTTATAAGGTATGATCATAGGAAGAAATTAGAAAACAAATGCGTACCTGAAATACTCCTTGAATTATTGTTAAGCACGAAATAGCAAGAATGCAACTAAAGCTCAATCTTCAGCAGTCGATAAATATATTGGATATATAGTCTAACATGCTAGATCAAATATGCACCAACAACAGAAAAGGGAACAAGCAACAAAACCGTTACATTGTATTGTAATGGGATATGAACAAATAGGCGTATATGGTAAGAAGCTCCAAATGGCTGTTGTTACTGATTAATATGAAGACTTCCCGTTTTCTAAATTGATGTCTACAGCTGAGGAGAGAGGTAGAGAGTTCAAATGATTTGCCAGCAAGTATCAGGAGAAAGGAGTTGTTCCACCAAGTGAAGTGTTGAAGAGATTCGTTGGTATTTTTATAGAAAAGCTGCTGCGGTGGAGATTTCAGCAGTTAGCTACTTGGATCAGTAGAGCTTTGTTTGACCAAACATTTTAGATCTTACATAATTTCTTTGGTAGCTGTAATAATGTATATTATAAGTCTATATACACATAATAACATGAAATCAGCTCCATTATTTGTTTTATATCTTAAATAATCCTTTTTGTAATGATGAACTTTTATATGTGATTTGTATTTTGATATCATTACTTGCAGGTAAACTACTTGTCATCCAAAACCATTAATTCAATACAGCTGAAATGGAAGGATAGGAACAAGCAAATGAGTAAAATATATATATTAAGGCATGTAGATCACTGGGCACCAAGTTAGACCCATTATGCTAGTGGAGAGATGCCTATTCAACCCAAAACTTAAACGCAGTTCTATTCAAAAACCAATATATTCAACAATTCTTCAATTTGAGACTCAATAACTAACCCCAACACTCTTACCTACTGTGACATTATATGTAAATAAAGAAATCAATCGATAGTTGTATAGACCCTTACCGGTAGCTCATCACGGCTGAGAAGACAATGGTGAAGAAGAATATCCCTGCTAATCTCTTTGATGTCATCTTTGCATATTTCCACCTTCTCAGCCTCTGTAATTTCAAAAACTGCCTCGTTCCTTGTGGTCACCAAATATTTACAATCATTGTTATACAGCTTTGCAAATCTCTCTACTATATCTTGCTCCCATACGTCATCAAGCAAAATTAACAAGCTCTTGCCTACCAATGCTGTCTGAAGCAAGCTAGTCATATCCTCCAGATCAGCACTCATCACTTCCTGAGAATTCTTTATGAAACCAATCTGCATTAGAGCCCAAGATATCCTCTTTGCCAATCGTTTGTGATACTCGATTCTATTTCCATTGCATGCTGCCCGGCTACACCATCGACCAAACCTAAGCTCAACAGCACCATGAACAAACCTAATGGGCGGACTAGATGCAACTTGACGAGCCAAGCAAGATTTCCCAATACCAGATAAGCCAACAATTAGAATAACCTTGGCTGAATTGTCCTCCTTCAGCAGCTTTCTTACATAATGACACTTCTTAGACACGGGATAACCTTGTTCAACAGTGACCCTTAAAAGAGGAGGCAGAGATTCTGCGTTGGATTCTACAGCTTTCTCTATATCGTCTGAGATCTTCTTCAGCTCAAGCCACCAAGTCAAATCATCTCTAATAGATTGAATCACCTTGGAAAGTGGATTACCCACCATGGAAATCCACACCACCTTACCAAAGCTCTTTGTTTTACCTTTGGAAAGTTCTTTTCTTGCCTTGGACAAATTGACATGCAATCTTTCAATAAGTGCACCCAAGCTAAGATGTTGGCGCTCGAGTTGGCTGTTATGAAGTTTATGGGCATGCTTTTGCTTGATGTTTTTAAACACATTCTCAAGATCACATACAAATAATTCAAGAATTCTGATTCTTTTGGGAGCTTCTCTGAGGTCTCGATAGGCTTCTTCTAGTGCACTGACAGCTCCCACCATGCTTGCCACAATTTGTGTAGCAGAAGCAATGGCTTGTAAGGGATCCATGGAGGGCAAATAGAACAATACAAGGAACTAAAAAGAACGCTTTTGCTTCACCCAACTTAAGGAAAACTGAATGCGCATATTTTCAACAATTAAGATTCAAAAATACTAAATCCAATCATCTTTAAATAAGGCCTCAACGTTAACAAAAATTGTAAAACTTCACAGTGGAAATAGTAATTCTTAAACCAGTAGACAACGTTCAAGGACATCTATCAAAAAATGCGGGCTACCCTAATCATACCGAGTTAAGGGTTTGCATAAGGAAACAGTTCCATGAAACCATAGATTCATCCGTTTACAGTAGAGAGAAAGCTCGGCAAGATCAATCTATAGTTTGGTGACCAATAATAACTATTCTACTTGAAAATTTCCAAGATTGCCTGCTAAGGAATTCAAGGAAAGAAAAAAAAAAGTTAAAAGAGAAATAAACGAAGAACTAAAAGAGCATCCTTTTTACAAGTTGACCTTACCGGATATTGTAATCCGAGAGTACCGTGATTAAAAAAAAAAAAAATTTTGCTGGGAGCCGATAGCCAACGACTGTCGCAGCTTCCGATCGTACAGATTATTGGCTATTGCTCAAGTTTCTTAATGAAATAATAGACAATAAAGAGTTGTGTAAGCCTTAGCTACTGCATGCACTGACAATGAATGTGAGCATGTTTATGACGGAATCTCGTTGGATGAAGATAATATAATATTTCCTCAAAATTAAACTGAGCATGAACTTTGAAATTCTTTTTACTTATTAAGTTAACATTATATGTATAAATACATGTTTATTATTATTATTATTATTTTATATATGTTGCGTCCTGGAGTATTCGCGGCGGTAGAGAAATATATAGTTTAACGTCTTAGCATTGTACGAAGATCCAGCACACAACCAGATAAGTGAGAGGGTGTAGCGTTCACAAGAGACACAAGAGTTTTTACGTGGAAAACCCCTGAAAAGGGGGAAAAACCACGAGGCCTGGTCCAGTTTGAATGAATCCACTAGTATTTGTAGTCGATTACAAATGAGGCCTTCTCCCTGAGAAGGCCTTGGCTTGATGTCACAAATGTACATCATATAGAGTGTATTACATTGTGGGAGTTACAATAAATGTATTTGTTTTGTCAGCATTACCATAGTCGATAGGATGGAGGTCGGAAAGACCGTTGTCTAATGATGGAGGTCGGAAGGACCATAGTAGGCGACGGAGGTCGGGAGGACCGTAGTCGGCAGGAGACCGGGGTCTGAGTGACCGTTGTCTGGTGATGGAGGTCGGAGTGGCCATAGTAGGCAACGGAGGACGGGAGGAACGTAGTCGGCAGGAAACCGGAGTCTGAAAGACCGTTGTCTGTTGATGGAGGTCGGAAGGACCATAGTAGGCGACGGAGGTCGGTATGACCGTAGTCGGTAGGAGACCGGGATCTGAAAGACCGTTGTAGTAGGGCGATACTCTGGTAGAACTCTAGGCGTCAGGTAGTGGCCCAGTAGAAGTCCGGGCCTCAGGTGGTGTCCTGGTTGAGCACAGGGTCTCAAGTGGCTGTTCGGC